GAAAGCGAGCGTCACCCTCAAAGAGCGTCCGGCAATTAATTTTACAAGGGCGCAAAAGGAAGCAAAAAGTAAACAGCTCGGCGCGCATCCCGGGTCCATCGTCGCGACGATGGGTTTTATATCTCCGCTAGTTGTCAGGCCAACGAGTTCTGCCTCGTTGGCCACCGCGTATAATGTCCACCGTCAATATAAGCTGTCGGATGCTTTTTCCTAAATTGACAGATTTTCAATTTAATCAAGTTCCAATCTAATGGAAAAATGCCCGATCTATCGGTCGCGCGAGTAGGTGCGCGCGCATGTGTGGGTGCGTACGTATGTCAGCGTGTGAGTATGTGTGTACGTGCGTGTGCGAGGTGTGTACGTGTGTATGTGTGTGTGATGGAGGGGGGGGGGTGGCGTACACATTGGGAGAATGTATGGCCGACGCGCGCGGAGGGGCCAGATTGAAATAATACTTTTATGTTTAATCGCAATCGAGGAGTCTGCCCGGCGACGACGCGGAACCACCCGCCGATCTCCGAGAGATTAATCTATTGATAAACATTCCATCACTCCGCGAAATACCAAGCGAGAGAAATAGACGAGCCATCGAGCGATAGAATATCTCGGCGTTTTACTCTTTTTACTTCTCTCACTTTTTTTTCATTCCCCTCTTTGCCTCCCGTTCCAACGTTCGTCGTTCTGACCGCGTTGCTTTACGGACGGTCGCTCGTCAAACGTTCGTTTTTATTAGCTAAATCTTTTGCGACTGCCAAGTATTATCATGCGTCATAAAACCGTAGATTTTTCAATGAACGACGCGCGACCGTGATTTTGCCTCCTCGTTCTTCCTGGACCTCGCCGCTCGTCGACTCGCCGCGAGGTGACAATCCGTTTACACCGGTCCGTTTTATATTATTAAAAAATATTTTCTCTCAAATTAGGGAAGGTATCGATCGATTCTCGTTGTCGTCGCGCCGATATTCATCATGTCGTTGTCGTCGTCGTCGTCGTCGTCGTCGTCGTCGTCGTCGTCGTCGTCGTCGTCGTCGTCGTCGTCGCAGTTGTCGGCAGCGGCGGTGGCGGCTTGTTACACACACAGTCCAAGAACAGCTCGTTACGTCGAGTATAAACAAAATCGTAATGCGACGCGATAACCGGATTCTTTACGGTCGATCAAGGCGCGGGCATCTCACGCGTCAAAAGCCGAGTGCCGCGACGACGACGACGCCGCCGCCGCCGCCGCCGCCGCCGCCGACTTCTCGCCGTTGGATTCTAATCGGCGACCGCTGCCGTGGCGAGCGTCGTCGGGTGAAACAATAATCATAATAATTGTGAAATTCGATCGAAATGCAATCGAGTCGGTGAAATGAGCCACCGAGGTAATGAGATCCGATCCATCGGCGGGGCCGGGACGTTCGCGGCTCTCCTGAATCGTTTGCCTTCAATCACTTTCTTGACAGATGCATTTACGGCCGGGACGGGTGGCCATCAAGCTGGAATGCGCCTTAAGGCTGGTTATACGGCGTATCGATCGATCGGACGGTCAACGTGCCGGATTCAGCTACGAGAAATTTGCGTCTTCGGGTCCGAGAGGATCTCTGGATAGGGTCGCTGCTTCTCTGTGGCAAAGCTGGAGATGGTTTGGCGGCTTCTCTCTCGTGTGACCGACGAAATCTTCGGGACCACGAGTGGAGGAGTATTCGTGACGGCGCATCCGTTGGGCGTTTAACGATTTCCGGTTCGCAAATGTGCTCGTGAGGTACGCGGATATTTGCATATAGATGCACATTACTGCGGTTCTCGCGGATGTAAAGGGTGCTTGATCCGTTTGCGCTTTCCTGTCGTCGCGTGATGTTCGCGTATTTTTACAAAACCCCGCTGCGAAATCGGTGGAGAGGAGAGGAGAGGAGAGGAGAATCGTCGCGCAGAGAATCGTCGTTACCTTCGTCAGTAATTTGAGCGAGTCTCATGTCTCTACTTCTCGACGAGTTTTAACGTGAGAAGGCTTCTTTGCGCGATTCTTCTTCGCGTTTTTCTTTCAGTCGTGGATTTCTTTGATGGTCGGTCGTGCGAGCGAGCGATTCTCGGAAAGTCTCTTTGTCTTGCAAAATCTCCGAAAGTTTGTTTTCTTGCATCATCATTGTGCTCACTAGCATCGCCAAGTGTCTATTATCCCGCTGCAAGAGAGAGAGAGAGAGAGAGAGACAGAGACCCTCCGCGATTAAGAGGAACGGCCGATGGCATTGAGAGGGTCGTCGCGAAAAAAGGGCTCAAAGGTCCCATAACTCATGATCGTCTAGCGGAAGTTGGAAGCGACTGAAACTCCACACTCGCCGATAAAATCGTCGCCTAAATTATTCAGCTGATAACCGGCGCGTCTCCGCACGAATCGACCAATTTCGCGCGAGATTTATTCCCGTTCCGGGAAACTGACAGCTTTTCGACAAAGCTCGTGTACGAAGTACGCGCGCGGTGCCGCATCGGCACGATGATCGATCGCGTCGTCGCCGTCGTCGTCGTCGTCGCAAGAGAAGGAGGAGGAGGAGGAGGAGGAGGATTCCTACTTCTCATCGCCGCTCGTCTCACTGCGGAAACGCGGACAGGCATTATTATCCCCGCGTCCTGCTACGTACACCGGCGGTGGCGGCGGGATCTTTTCTTTTTGTGCCGGGCGCGGGATAAAACGTTCTCGTTCTTTTGCGCGTAAATTGCACGCTCCCTTCTCAGACGCGCAGCGAGCATTAAGTCCGTGCGTGGATCCTGTGTTTGCCGAGGGGATAATAGTGTAATGGATGGACAGGGACAACGAGCCAACGGACGAGACTGCCGTTTTCGAGAGTCTAGTGTCCGGCTGTCGTCGCGTCGCGTCTAGTTCGCGCGCGGTTCTTCTCTCCTTTGTCGCTTAATTGGCGTCATTGTCGAATTCTTCGTAGCGTCTAATTCTTTGCGCGAACAATACGGCCACGTGGCTCGCGTTCCCTCGCAATTAAGGTTCGTGCGGCGCTGGATCAGCAGTAGTGCGATTAATCGTATCATTATCAATAAACCGGTTTTCGCGTGACACCAGAAACGCTCAACCCAATTCACTCGCTCGCTCGCCCGCTCGTATCGAGACCGTGACATCTTTCGACGCGCCGGACACGCGAAAACAAACGTAGTTCTCGAAAGTAATAAGAGGCGATTTCGCGGGGAACGTATCGCCGATAAGTGAGAGTTAATTGTCCCAAAAGGAAAGTAGACACGTTTGACGACTAGTAATCCCCGGGCGCTTGTTTGCTGAAGTTTCCGTACTGGCTAGTCCGATGAGCAAGCATCGACGAAACTGGTCCCCGTTCATCGAAGCTAGCTACGTAAGCTACGTGCAAATATTTTCCGCTTTACGATCGCAGTCTGACAGAGAGAGACAGACGGAGAGAGAGAGAGAGAGAGAGAGAGGAGAGAGAGGGAAGGAGGGAGAGAGAGAGGGAAGGAGGGAGAGAGTGAGAGGAGGGAGGAGTCAGGATTCCCCTTGTAATACTTCACCGCCTCGTTCTAACGACTTTCAACTACCGTGCCGCCGCTGCTTACAACTAATTTCACCACACGAAAAATAATTAACGACGGGCTTATCGGTTTCATTAATAAGTTTTTGCTCACCTCGTCCGCAATCCCGCTGATCGAAGAGTTCCCTTGTAATCTCTATCGCGAATCTTGTTATCGCGTTTCTTCGTGCGCGCGGCACGTTGCCGCGCGTTACAAATATCGATAAATTCACGCAACGTTAGCGGCGGTGTAATCATAATGGACGTTGCAATCAGAGTGGATCTGCTCGCGACTAATGTATCGGCGAGTGATTCCTCCGCGCGCTGAAAATTGCTAATCGAACAGAGCCGAGATCGGGGTACGGGCGGGATAGTGGCGGTGGTTACTTTATTCCATAGTCAGAACGCGGAAGTCTTTCGCGCAATGCTTAGGCAAATGTCGTACGTGCAAAGAGGATCGCGTACCGTTGGACGGACCGTTAGAGGCTTTGCCATTCTACCACGTCGATTTTCTCACGGCTTTCGCCGTAACGGGTGCAGCTTCTCCGCCAATTTCTGGTAACAAGGAGAACGAAACGTTACGTCGCGTTATATGAACACGCGAACATTACGTAATCGCGTCCCGTGATCCCGCCGAGTATCGCCGTTGCTCGATCATCTCTGTTCGTCGTCGCCCAAAATCGACATATTATGAAACCAACTCGCTTTCCTTCCCCCCTCTCTCTCTCTCTCTCTCTCTCTCTCTCTCTTTCTCGCTTCTCCAAAAGTCTACGGCGTGTCGGTAGACGAAGACGCGTTACGCAATTCGACTCGAGCGACTTCGAACCGAGATATCGTCGACCGCTTTATCCCGTTGTGGGGACGACTCGACGTTCGACGCGCTTTGTTTTGTACATTAATCGTATACAGGTCAGAGGGACCATTGGCCGATTTAGGTTGAGATGCGGCGTGGCGTAGCTACTTAACCGTACAATTGGTTGTCATTGACACACAAAACCGTCGGTAACGAGTATGACGATCTCGTCGGCCGTCGTGCACTTTATTGCTTCATCCAAACGAGCAAGTGGAGCGGTCGCTTGAGATCGCTAACTGGCATAAGTAGCCCATCGGCATCTTGCGAAGTAATTAGCCGCTCAAGCTCAAGCTGAAATATAATATCTAGCAGCTTCGCATCTCCTCCGTGTTCGCTCGCGTGCTCTCGCAAGAGCGCGAGTTTAGAATCCGCCGGCGCGGTCGCGATTCTCCCCCGTTCCCTCGACATCGTCGAGGCGCAACCACCCGTGGACAAAACTCATTGGAAATGAACAATCGAAAGCAGTTGGCCGATTTCCGACATCAATAATCCATAAGAAAGAGAGATAGATGGAGGAGACACGGAGAAAGGGAGAAGGCAGAAAAGGGCGAGAGACGGGGAGAGAAAGACGGGAGGAGAGAGAGAGAGGGAGAGAGAGGGGGAGAGAGAGAGAGAGAGAGAGAGAGAGAGATTTGTGCGCTTACCTCGCTCTTGAGATTCAATGGCAAATCGCAGGGGGCGTCCAGCTCTGCCTCCGCTTTCACCTGATGAGACAGCATACTGTGGCTGTGCCGGGGCGGTACGGCGGTCGCCAGCATGTTGGAATGCTGCAGATGCTGAAGACGAGGCTGGAGATGGGGCTGGTGGTGATAAGGCGGCGACAATTGGGTGTTCAGAGTGCGAAGATCAGCTGGCGGGGAAGCGGGCGCAGCGGTACTGCTCTGTTCCTCCTCGGCCGAACCCTCCGCCATGTCAGCCTTGCATCCCGGGGACTCGTAATCTGCAAATCGACCAAAACTCTCAGAGGACCGTTCTAATAGCGGCCGCCGCGCCAACGCGCAGCCTCCGGCACGACGCAATCCCATTATGGCGCGAGTATAATTCGCGGCGGCTTCGATCGTCAATAACGCGAAACGATTGCGACGCGCGGTAACACAGCGATCCCATATTTTCGGATTGACGTCATCTTATAAATACGAAACCAGAGTCGACCGGAGTCGCGGAAGCGTGTGCACGCGCACGAATTCCAGTTTGATGCGCGCCGAGTAACGACCGTCGCGTATAATGACTTTCGCTTCGCGCGACGATAAATCGAATCCGAAGAAATGAGAGACGGTTCTCTTATAGTTTTTCTTTTTTTCTTTCTTTTTCTTTGACAAAGGAGATAGTCTTTATTTAAGGAAAAATCTCCAAAATATAAAAGAATATACGTAGAATAAGAAAAAAAGCCAGAAATTTTCTCAGACAATTAGTATCGGCTTGGTGTCGGTCTGGTTTTTTGGAGAAATGCAGCAGGGAAGAAAAACGTCCTCTTCCCTGTTCTCGTTACCCCTATATAATATATAAACACGTTGCTAATTAAACCGGCGTGGCGACGCGCGGTACCGCCGCGCCAGCCGTATCGAACGGCAACGCGTGCAGCTGTTAAGAATGCAGACACTCGAGAAATTAGAAGGAGACCCGTTCATCTTCCGACTTCAAAGCAAAAACATTTGGTCGGCGCATCACGCCGGAGGAGGTGGAGGAGAGAGGGTGCGTGTTGCGATGCGAGAGAGGCGCCGGAGACGTGTGGGAGAGAGCGAGAGGCACCGCGAAAAGGGGATTGGGGGGCGGGGGAGGGAGTTCGCGAGAATAAAACGCCGGCTAACGCGCCGCTCTGCAGGCGTCCCGCGTTTATCCGCCTAATTATTTTTATCTAAGCGTTCAGAGTTAGTAAGAATTCAAGGGCAAGTGAAATCGCTGCCGTCTGGACACGCCGAGAGTCACGTTCCCTCGTCGCTCTCTATGTTCGCGCGTCTCCTCCCTCCAGCGTCTCCTCCGCCGCCGTTGCCGCCGCCGCCGCCGCCGCCGCCGCCGCCGCCGCCGCCGTCGTAGCCGCGCTCGCTTCGTCGCGCCGCGGCCGCCGTCGTATACTTGGTGAACGCAACTAATAACATCTGCTTCTATTTTTGCGCTGGCCCGAGTCCAGCGCTTTACTTTTTAAAAGCCGCGCGCCTATGACGAACGGCTGGATGGATCATCGAGCGGAAGCTCGCCCCGGGCGTGGGGGGAGGGCCGGCAGTGAAACGAGCCGGTTATTCTGGACAAATTATTGTCAAAGGGCGAGAAAACACCTTCTGCCTGCGAGCTACTTTGTTCCTCATAAAAGGCGTTTTATAATGGCCATCGTAAAAATATTTGATGCTATCCTTTAAAACGGCGCGACGGCGTGTTTATAATAAAAGCGTCAGGTCGTTGAATACCAAATAGACCGCTCACAAGTGCAAACTCCGGTGTTAATGTCGCTTGTTCTTGTAAAATAGGCCTGTTCTGATACGCGCGCGTCCGTCGCGCATGATAACTCGAATTGGTGGCTCGCCGACGATGGCGGACTGACTCCTCGAAACGTGTCGTGCGAGGATGATCGCGAGCAAGATTCGAAAGAACGCGCTTCTTTTCTCTTCGGCAAATACGCGGGCCGGCGTCGATCGTCGTGGCTTTGAATTCAAAGTGATTTACACCATGCCCCTTGGGCCAGCAAGTGAGAAAAGTGAGCAGGATTTATCTTTGAGCACGAATGACATTGTCCACCTGTTCACGCATTATTTTGCTGTAACATTTTCTGCTCTTGCCGTGTCGGTAGCTTTAAATATCTAAGAATTTGAAAGAACTGCAGAAATATTTCACAGCGCGCGCACGCGCGAGTTCTCTCTCTCTCTCTCTCTCTCTCTCTCTCTCTCTCTCTCTCTCTCTCTCTCTCTCTCTTTCCCCGTCAATATAGAAAAATACGTTCTGCATACTCTTTTTCATCGCATCGCGATAATATATAATGACTTACTGTTGAAGGATCGGATTATTAATATCCTACTCTAACGAACGTTCCGTATTTGTCTGAAATCAATTAAAACGGCGGAATAAACTGACGTAGAACGCAATGACCGCGACCAGTCGAAGAGATCGCATCGATCATCGTTGCGAGGTATTAATTTATGCATCGCACAATGAAGAGGAGCTTTGCCGCTAATGAAGCTGATTAATAAGCATTACTCGATTTTTGTGTCACGGGAGCAAATGGCGATAAACGGGTTCGGGCTGAATTCTCGTCCAATGTCCGTCTCAAAAAGCCAAATTATCGTACGAGGCATCGTACATCGTGAACAGAGAAACAAAATTCGTTCTCTCTCTCTCTCTCTCTCTCTCTCTCTCTCTCTCTCTCTCTCTCTCTCTCTCTCTCTCGGGCGCGTGAACGCGCGCCCTTGGTCGTCGATCGCAGAAATCCAATCTTGGCGGTAGCGCGAGTTCCTTGGCAAAAATCTCCAAACGTGTTTAATCCCCGAACGTTTTTTCCGCCTCAAAACGCCGTAAAAACGCGCCATCCGAGATCGGGCTCTGTATGCAACCTGTCTTTCTTCCGTTTGCAGTCATTAATTTCCGTCGGAATCATATTAATCGCTCTAGGGTTGCGCCCGTGAAATTACTAGACGCTTTAACCACCGGCTGTCCAAACCGAATTCGTCCGCAGCGATTATTATATCGCGTCCTGAGGTCTAATGCCGGGTATTCCGAAAGCTAGCCAATTAGTATCGTCGATTTGGATGGCTTTAATGAGAGTGCGGTTTCATTAGCGTATCGCATCGCCCTCACGGTTCGTGATTCGTGAAATAGAAGAGGAATTCTTAACCGGACGAAGATATCGCGAGTGATTATAGCGCGATCGTTCAAACGTCACCACAGCCGGCCGTGTCTGAAAATTGGTACCTTGGTCGTGCGACCTCGAAAAAATGCGTTCTTCACGATCAAGATCGTGAAGTATAAATCTTTCGCAAAAGGGCCGAGAGTTTATATCCGAGAGAGCTTCCTCTGCTGCTATTCGCCATGGAAATTTGAGCACGGGACATATTCTACATTTTGCGCGGCAACGCGGTTCCGCGTTTTCATGTTCTTAAATCGCTTCATGTCCTCCCTTCGATCGACCTCTGTCGATTTTCCTCTTCGAGATATGTCCTCGAGAATACGACGGAATAAATCGCGTTCCGCGCGCGCCCCCCCTCCCCTTCCCCTCCCCTTTCATCGGCCGCCATTTCGGTGTCCTGCGATTTCTTCGGCGATAATCGGCTTCACCGAATAGACCGGGTGAAAGCCGGTAGGACGCGCCTGCGATTAATACGCCCAAGCGATTGATATGGGAATCACTCGAGGATCTCTCCGGGGGCAATTAGAACACGCGAATTATGCGACACTGTCGTCCGGCGAGACGCGACTTTCTCGCGTACCTACCGCGCTACGAGAAGATCTTCCCGAGGAATGAAAGTCCATCCACCCTCTGGGTTTCGCCTTCGAGCGACACCCGCCGTTTCCTGACTTCGTCGTGCTCCCTTACGTTTCTCCCGTCGTCGGTCCCTTTTTCTCACGCCAGTCAACCGGCGTCCTCTCTTTCCGCGTCGTCCTCTTAGCCCGCGGCGCGCATCGCGATTTCGCAGTTCTGTAGCCAACGTCATCGTCGACGACGAAGAAGACGACGACGACGACGACGACGACGACGTGAAGGCAGCGGCAGCGTGCAATTAAGGGGTTGATTGATGTTAATTCAAAGGGTAATTAAGAATGTTGCGCATAAAAATCCGGTAATTTATGGTCATTGGGGATAATTATATGTTGACCAGCTTGTAATTGCAAGCGCTGCGTGGCCTATACCGCGCCGTATACGCGTCCGAGGATTGCGGGTAGCTACCTAGTGCGCCAACACGGGTATTGGTGCTGGTTCGTTTGTGTGTGTGCGTGCGCGCGCGCGCGCGCGTGCGTGCGTGCGTGCGTGCGTGTGCGTGTTGTGTGCATTCACGGGCGGGCTTCTCGGAGCGTGTGCGGGCGGGGATATACGGTCTCAGATCGCGGCTTATTATAGGGGCCAGTAGATAAGGTGGGTTTAGAAACAACCGGGCGCCTCTGGCCAGCAGCTAGTTTCTACGTAACGCCGACATTCTCCTCTCTTGGTACAACGGCGCTCGGGGCTATGGAGGTGTGTATAAACCACCTAGGCGCTGGAGCTCCAAGGCGATTGCGATTTACGAGGCCGATTCTCCCGACCGACCGTCAAGACGGCGGTTTTAGAATTCTAGGCCCGGTCCATTTCGCGCGGCGCGGCGCGGCGCGGCGCGGAGCGACACGACGCGACGCGCAGATCGCGGTGCTGCGTGTTTGGGGTGCCCCGTGCGGTGCTCAAGCCGTAGCTATAAATAACTGGGCGCGGATAATCGCCATATGGCCGTGCTTGCAGCCGAACCACTGACCGTTTCTTCGTAGCCGCTGACGCCGATGCTCGCTCTCGATTTCCTCCTACGAATCTATTCGTCGCTGAGCGTTCTCCGTTCGAATTGTGCTTGTGTCGACGCTCCCCGTCGACGACGTCGCACCTCCAAGCGACCGTGACGACGACGATGACGTGGCGTGGCGAGTCGATCGGGAAACCCGCGCGGGGCCTCGCGCGGGGCAGGGTATTGTCTACCTGAACTCGCCGTGATAACTCGTCTCGAGCAGAGTAAATGCAAAATAATAATTCCGAGCGGAATAACGCGCGCGGATAATGGATCGGACTTATTGAAAAATCGCGGATGGGGGGCCCGACGGATTCTCGACGAGTCGGGTTCGGCGTAGCCGAGAGAGGGCGACCAACAAGGTGAATACAAGCCTGTGGCGTGGGTAACCCTCCTACTTAAAACACAGCCGATAAAACGATCCCAGCGGGACCAGTTGGCAACCGCCCATCGCGATATTGTCCTTGCCGGGTTCTCCTTCTTTTTCTTTCTTCCTCGTTCTTTTTTTCCTTTTTGTCATGATCCCGTAATCGACCGGTCGCTCTAATGGCAACGCATAATTGCGGCTTTATGGCGTCTAAGCGAGCATTAACGCTAAAGAGAAGTAGGAAAGAAACTCGGGAGCGCGCGTCGCGAACGTGCTCGTGTACGGTCGATCCGGATTACCCGATGCCGGTGCCCCACCGCTGTCGCACCGTCGCCGTCGCCGTCGCCGTCGGTCGGCTGCTCGATCGAGCAGTAAATGCAAAATAATAAGCGCGCGATAGATTAAACCGCCTCATGCCACCCTTCTATATATACCGGCCCCGTCTCGCCGGCACGAGCGGGCATAATTAAGGCGAGCGCACAAAGAATCCAGCGCCGCATCCGTGTTGGTTAATTCGCATCGACCTTTAACTCGCGTACATACATAGGCATATCGGCTAAGGTAATGGCCGTTTCGTGCGATACCATTCTGTCAGAAATCCGAGGGGCTTTGTCCCGAGTCACGAAACGCAAGGATTAAACTGAACAGCGCGTCGTTAATGCGACTGTGCGAACGTCGAGGCGTCGAGACCCGGCTGCGCGCTCCGCTCTCCGTGTATGCGTGCGTGCGTGCGTGCGTGCGTACGTATAAGTGCGTGTGCGCGCGTAACGCGCGCCCGCCCGTCCTCATAAATCGGCGCCGCGAAGGGGTTCGGCATCAACGTGCGTTACCCAAGACGCGATATTTTACGCCCTTGTCGGAATTCTCGTGCTGCCAAACATTTTGCATTATTCCGGCGAAATTCTTTTTCGAGACAACGCTAATCGAAGACTAATCCTGTGCACGGGAATGAGTTCAGCGCACGAAAATAAAATTGTGTACGCGAAAAGCTTCTGACGCGCGAGCCCGAGCCCGAGCCCGAGCCCGAGCCCGAGCCCGAACGCGATGTGACGAGAGCATCTCCTATATTCACACGTGTCACTTTAATCAGAGAAATGCGATCTCTCTGTTTTATTCAAGGAACCATATTCTGACCTGATCTGATATCGCGTCTCACGAATTCACGATAAAAACCCCCCGATTGTCATTTCAACGCTGAGACATACACTGCGTCCGCGTGTTCTCGCGCGCGCCTGCGAACGAATGACGCCCGTCGCCGCGTGTAATAGCTTCTTGTATAGCAACATATCCTCGGAGGCGCAGGAAGAATATTTCATGTTTTACGGCGCCAGCGTCGTTGGGGTTTCGCCGGATAAAAAAAGTGTCAGCTCGCCGGCTAAATCAGAGCCCCGAGTGCATTAAACTCCGAATTACCACAAATAGAACTTTAACCGCACATGCCCATTATAATGGCACCCCCCGCTGAAGATGTATTTACGTACTAAACCGCCTTCGTGGCTCACGCTGAGTCGTCGGAATTAACATCTGGCCCAAAAACGTGCCGCTCGGTTCATTGGACCCCTTTTTCTCCTTCTTATGAGCGTACTAACCGTTTCATCACAAGTGCTCTCGATTATTCGCGGAACGATGCCCGCCACCGTTCGTTCGACCCCGCGAGCTTCTAGCTCCGTTCCGTTATTAAGAGGCGAATTAATTTCTGATGCATTTTTCACGCAGTAGAAGAAATAGTCGACCCTTCTCCGGGGCCAGAAAAGAGAACAACTTGTCTCTTTTTTGTTCGTCTGGAAACAAAGAAGCCCTCTCGCCCGACTTCGTATTCTATAGTCCGAAAATTAGAACGTGACTTTGCGAGATGTGGATGTATTTCTGCGAAAAATTACGTGGACGTATCGTCGTATCGCACACTCGAAGAATCGTCTAAGGCTTTCTTTTCGATTCGTGTTTTTTTTTTTTTTTTTTTTTTTCTTTTCCTCTTCTCTTGGGAAAAGTAACCCTGCCAGCGCGTCGGAGACAGAATAATTTCGAAAGTGGTTTTACATGCAAATTAGGTCTATTAAAATATCAGAATATAGCTTACGCAGCGTATAAAAACGCGAGTGTGCCGGGGCAGCTCTCTATCCGTCAAATCATAAGCCGCTCCGAGCTATTACGTGCGTGCGTGTTTCTTCATGAATTATTAGAATTAATGAGTTCGCACACATTCCTTCCACAATGTTACGCTGACCAAACATCATGTGCGACGAGGGGAAATTTTAGAGCAACAAAGAGAGTCCGCTCCGCTACCTTTTTTTTTTTCTCTCCTTCCTTTACGTCGCGATGTTCATTAAGTGTCTGATAAGTTGCTATTAAGCCGCAAAATCGTAACAGGGTATTTTAAGCGAACGGTGCAGTTCGGTGTGACGCATCGTCGAATTTTCTCCCGGCGGTTGTTCCGTCATCGATCAAAAGTCGCGCTCTATTCGCGAGAATGAGTAATTCTCGGCTTCTCCTCGTTGCGTGCCACGGGCAATCGGCGAGAAAAAGACTAAAAAAAAAAATTGCTTCGCCGGGCGCTCTCGCGCGGTTACACGAGTAACAAGTAACCGTCGTCATTAGACCGTAGCGTGCGAAACTACGCTAGATCAGGTAGAGCAGCTCCTTACACCGGACACGTCGAATCTGCGGCGAAACTTTCTTGCTCGCGGACATTTCCGGGTCGATAATCGATGAAGATTCTCGAGCGGAAAACAGAATAGCGTGGCTAAAGCGAGCTGGAAGTGGGTAAGTTGTAGAACGAAATGTTATCGTGCGCCGGATTGTCGGCAGGGGTTGAACTCTGGCTGAAGGGGAAGCCTTGAATGGGGAGGCTTGAACGGGAAGGGGCACGAGGGTGGTGAGAATAAGGGGAAAGAGAAGAGGAGGAGGAGGAGGAGGAGGAGGAGAGAGGGAGAGAAAGAGAGAGAGAGAGAGAGAGAGACAGGGAGGGAGCGAACGCGGCGGAGGGCCGAGGCGATTTAAGAAGGGGGATGCGTCGATTCGTTTTCTTGACCTCGACAACAGGCGCGTCGATTCTATGTTTAGCTGTTTCTCTCGTATCAATTGGCGGCGCAGAAAGCGCCTCCAACGCGCGCGCTGATCTCTCCTTTCTGAACAAAGTAAGTGACATTCAACAGCTCGATCACATCTCGTCTGACGTGAAAACGTCCGAGACAGTTTTTTGATTGTTCTAGCATCGATTGCTTTATTATATCTGTGATTAATGAGATTATATCTGTTATTCGAAAATTCTTTTCACGGCGCGCGCGAACGATCTCGAGACGGTTTCATTGAAATTCGGCGTCGTTCAGTCGCGAGACGAGGCACCTCTCTCGCTCGCTCTCCTTTGTGTCAGCTCTGCAGCGCCTACCCCAACGATATCGCGAGTCAAGTGTTTCCTTTGGGATTTTCTGCTTTCAGCTCTCCGCGTTTATCCCCACCGACGAAGCCGACGACGACGACGACGACGACGGACGACGATGTCGACGTCGAGTTCGCTCGGCCGCAACTTGAAGCATCTCGCTTCCTCTTGCGGCCGCTAGAATTCTCTCTGCTCCTCCCTCCCGCTTTTCCGGCTCCTCTGACCCTCTCTTTCACCTACCCTCCGTGTTCCCGAGGCGGCAAGCAAAGAACTCTCCTACCCTCGGGCAGCTCACACTGATTTTCCACCCTCGTCACCCTTCCCGTCCACCACCGTCACCCCCTCTTCCTCTACCTCTGCCATTGCCTCCTCCTCTCCACCCCCGAGCTCATGCCGTCACTCGTAGTCACGCCGCCAACACGTGCTCCTGTTTACC